GTGTGAGAGGCTTCAATATTTGGCTTTCTCATCCCACCCAGCTGTGAGAGTTTGTCCACTTGTAGATATAAAAATAAGAGTGATTCATCATGACTTCACATCCTTCCCTCCAAGGCCAGGCATTATTTTCATGCTGCGTAGCTGTCAGGTGCACCATCTTAGGACAACACTGGTTTTAATGTTGCCTCCCGTCTTTCCACAGGAGCAGATCCATGTGCCTGTTTACCACCCAACGCCCAGCCAAGCCCGACTGGCCACCCAGCTGACGGAGGAGGAGCAGATTCGCATCGCCCAGCGCATCGGGCTCATCCAGCACCTTCCCAAGGGCGTCTATGACCCGGGGCGGGACGGCTCGGAGAAAAAAATCAGAGAGTGAGTAGAAAGCATCTGTGGTCAGACACAAAAACCGAATTCACAGTGAGTCAGCAGCAAGAGGTTTCCAAGGAATGTTATCTTTTAAAAGAAAAATGCCTTCATCAGAGCCAACAGAACGGTTGGGTTTTCCACAGGGCTCCTGAACAGCTCATCCATGACGTGATTCAACACTAAGCTAACAATGGTACTTCATCATGTACAGGCCTCGTTTAAACATCTGTCAGTAATAAGCTGCTTGCTCTGACCGTATTCGTTAAAAAACCAAAATGTTTTGCGCGCCGCGGTGCAACTGTGAAACCATTCCTGACTCAGCTGTTACCAGCAGTTGATTGATAACAGTTCAGTAAAATATCCGGACTATTTAAAGCCTCTTGGCAAAAATGTTGTACATGTTGATTGTGGGTTTTTCCCGTCCTTGTGCTTTACTGCATTATAATTGTCATGCCGCAGAAACGTCACACAAATGCTCTTTACTTCTAGTCATGGCTGTTTCCATAGAGCTGCAGGACTTTATATTGCAGTAAAAAAAAAAAACAACATACACCTGTTAAGCAAAAGAGAACTGAAAATATGTCATTCAGAGATTGCATGCTCGTTATTGAGCAAAAAAAACAAATGTAATGTAAGTAACACAACCCATTAAGTTCAACAGCTTAAACATCAGTTTGCTGTTGCCATAAATTCAAATGTTATGTAAAAAAAAATGACCTCATCATTCACATGTGCTGCTGTAACGTACACAGCTGTGTTCCCAAACAGCAGCGGAGAATCTTCACACTCCGGTCGCTCTGTGCTCTCTAGAACTACGAGGCCGTGCACATTCAAATTGAGTTTCACAGTAAAGCGCCGCCTGCGTGACGCTCAGAGATGAATTTTTCATTGCAACCTGTTTGCTGCATTGCCAACACTTCACTCCTTTAACTTTGAGCGTTTTCCTGCTCTTTTACCATTTCCTGCTTTTTTTTTTTTGTGGTTTCCACGCCCAATCCCAACCAACCGTCGCTGAGGGAAATGTTGAACGTGACCATCGACTGATAATCTGCGTTTTTGAAATCATCTGTATTGTGGAAGTCGATAAAAAGAGAGTTGAGCTTGAGTCTCTGTTCCTTTATTTGACTCCACTTACAGCAAGACTCACTCGCAGTTCGAAGCTTTTTATACAACGACCCGGAAAACGCTTCAAAATAAAAGTGTTCTTTGTGTGTGAGACCTACGGAACATGTGCACCACAGTATTATTTCTTTTAACCAATTAGTGATAAAAAAAAAATGAATTAAATGCACTCTGATGAAGCTGTCAGGCGCCGGGAAAGCAGCAGTTTGTCTAATTTGTGGTGATTGCTTGTGCTTTATGTCCAGTTTTGTCTGTGATTAGCAGACAGCTGAAGTTAACCTGACTTCAGAAAGTTGTTGCAGAACTTCAAATAGCGCTAAAAGGCGCAGCAAACTCTCAGCTGTAGTCTCGCATCCAAAGCGAAATCTGTTCCAGCTGCACCAACATCAACGAGAGAACTGTTCTGGCGTTTTCATGGCAACGGGGGAACCGGACGTGTTTGTGTGCGCAAACGAACACAGTGTTTGTTTTAGCGTCCATAGAATCTGCTATCTGCACCAGATCGTCCCAGTGAGTGGATTTGAATGGCTGTGACTTGTTTAATGAAATGAAAAATACTTTATTTATCCCAGAAGGGAAATTCAATCTTGTAAAAGCTCACTTTTTTTTTTTTTTTTTAATCAATATAACACATATTCTTACACAACAACAACAATCATTCAGTCAGTTAGATTAGTTTTTTAAGGTGATGGCTGTTGGCAGGAAGGAACTCCTGTATCTCTCCGTTCGACAGCGAAGCTGACGCAGCCTCCCACTAAACACACTCTGTTGGTTCTTCACTGTGTTGTGGAGACGGTGGGAAGAATCCTCCATCATCTTCATCATTTGACTCATATTTAACATTTTTTCCCGTCTTTAGTCGGAGGCGATGTGATTGTATCTGTTCCAAATTTCCATTACTGGTCTTTCCTGACTACCTATAATTGGGACCACATTGGTCGATGCCTAACAAGAAGTGTGTGTGTTAACCTCTGCAGGTGCGTCATCTGTATGATGGACTTTGTTTACGGAGACCCGATCCGGTTCCTGCCCTGCATGCACATCTACCACATGGACTGTATAGACGACTGGCTGATGAGGTCCTTCACCTGCCCTTCCTGCATGGAGCCGGTGGACGCCGCACTGCTCTCCTCCTACGAGACCAACTGACACAGACACCCCCTCGGACCAGACTGGACACACACACACACACACAAACACACACACACACATGGAATATGCACACAAATGGAAATACACACAACTTCCATGTTGCTAACTTATATCCTGCATTAGTAAGATGGTAATATCAAAGCAAGTAACAAGACGTGGGGTGGATTCTGTGTGTTTGTGTGAGAGCATGAGTGTGTAGATATACGTGTGTGTGTGTGTGTGTGTGTTCACGGTGCACAGTTTCCTCAGTTGGCCTGCTGGACAGGATTGCATCTGGGAAAGGACCGGAGGGATGAAGAGTGTTGAGAAGACAGGAGCTGACGGCGGTGGGGTCAGGGGGAGTGCTGAGGGAAGTGGAGGGGGAAGGATGGCGGCGGTGGTGGTTAAGGAACATTTCCAAGATCTGCTTTTAGATATGCGATACATGCACACAAGCGAACACACACTTCCTTTATTTACTCCCAATCAAAAGTGAGCCAGAGTGCAGAAGGACACGTGACCTCCATCGCCGGGCTGCAGGTTGTGTTTGTTGGACTGCCGAAGCCTGGACTAATGTAACGTCGTACTGCAGGACAACGGGGGGCAGGAGGGGAGGAAACGCCCTGCAGAGTCATACATGCTGCAAAAAACTGTCCCAGATGCAGATATGTGGTTGGTGGGGGGGCAGAAACGCCCTGCAGAGTCATACGTGCAGATATGTGGTTTACAGACTGCTAGAGATGGACAGCGGACTCACAGAGGCCTCCTCAGGTCGTCTCTCTGTACAGATCTTTCCCGAGAAAAAACCAGATCGGTGGGTGGATTTGATTGATTGTCCCGTGGCTTCGTGAAATCTGTTCTGTTTGTTTATCAGTCAGCATAAGGGCTCCGTTGAACCGACAACACAGACATGACAAGAGGAAATCCAGTTTTAGCCGCTGATGGGATGGAGAGACGGTCGCTGCCGAGCTTTTGTCTCCTCGGCCAAAGCACAAGTAGACCAGTTAACAAACCATTGATTATGAATCAGATATTTGCACTTGTTAATCATACGTGTGACAAGAGGACCATATGCATTCAGTAATTATGTCGACGAGAAGTTTCTGATTTGCTTTGTGTACATCCTCATTACTGATTTGTAACGAACAGCGGGGAGCCGGAGCGGATACTTAATTTATTACAGGGGACATTAATCAAACTACTGAATTAATTCCGAGGTTTGTGCCCACGTAAACGTTGTAAAGGTCCCATATTGTGGTTTAAGGGATGTTCTCAGTGAAGACCAGTGAGCTGCTGCTGTTCCCCTTCAGGCAGAACTCGCCTCCTCTGCAGAGGCGTCACAAAGCATCTCAGAGGGAATTCTTTCCTACTCGTAAAGCTGGGTAGGCTGGACAAATAGCAGAATTAAATTAATGTCTTAACAGCTTTTATTTTGCTCCTCCTGAGGGCTGTGCTACGAAGCGAAGGTGGCTCTCTTTTAACCTGGCTAGATCACCACGGCAACTAATGCTGTGAAGCTAACCCGGTCCGAGCAGGTTACGGTCAGAGTTTGGATTTGAATCGACTGGAGGAAGCTCCTCCCTTTAGCTACATCACTTCCTGATGATTCTCTTAAAGGCGACACAGATTCTCAGATGTGTAGTGATGCACGATATTAAAATTTCTGGCCGATACCGACATCCGATATTAAGATTTCTGATATCGCCGATAACCGATATTGCCGATGTCGATATTCAGCTTTTGTTTACACCGAAGAATGAGTTTAAGTAAGCACTGTGAGAACGCTATTCAAAAGAAGTCCAATTTAGACCACATGGTCTTCTTATTACGGAGCAAAAGAAAAAAGCATATTTAATGTTCAAGTCCAGGACACTTTAAGTAGAAACATCTGTGAGATAGCCGCGATATCAAACGTAGAGACGAAGGCGCTGATGTTAGACAATCATCGGCTCAGTTTGTTCATCGGACCGATACCGATATGTCGGCAAAAAACACTAATATCGGCCGATACCGATGTGGTCGCCGATATGTCGTGCATCCCCAGAAATGTGTAATATCTGCAAATGTGTTTAGCTGTATCGTACTGAAATCGCTGAATGAAGCCGTAGTTACAGTATCCCACACTGTATGCATCATGTTGCCATGGAAACCCAGCATATTTCTGGCTGGCGATGCAGAAATCACATAAATCAGTTTTCTTGTTTGGCTCTGATTTGCTTCCAGTACCAGTTACGCTGCTGGTGCTGCAGCTGATAGAAAATGGATTATCCTACTGGTATGTATTGCAGACAATAGTCAATAAATGGCATTAATTTCACTTGGATTTGACTAAAAGTTAAAGTGATACTCTGCATTATGGGGCAGCGTTGGAGCTAAATGCACTTCAATACGATAAACATTTAAATATTTGAAGTTTAACAGCTCTAATGTGCAGCGTTCAGTTAGAAATAAGCATCAGTCAGTAAAATACATTTTGATTTACCAGTTTTCTGCCAGCGTTCCTGTCTTACATCATTTGCAGTTTTATTACTGCATCCCTCATCGTTCTCCATTAAAGCAACCTGTTCGCTAAAGTAGGCGGCACACGATTGTTTCACTTGGCGTGGACGAACGTGCACATGATGCATTCAAAGCCCGCTTTTCTGTGAGCAGTCTGAAGCAGAAGGCCTGAGTGGACTAAAAAAGTCGACAACCACGGTCGTGATACTCGTTATCTCTGACTGGGAGTTTAGTTTGTGTCCAGCCGATTTACCAAAAGAAAGCCCGGCTGTGTCAGACTTGCTTCGTAGTGCAGCCGTCTGGTCTGGAACAACCACCAAACACAAGGAAGGTGGATTTTCACCATATGGGACCTTTAAAACATACACAAGTTTGGGCTCTTCTGGTGTGTTTGAATATGTAAAATCACGTCCTGTGCTGCGGCAAACGTGTTCATTTGATCAAAACTCAGACGCAGAAATCGTTCACGCTGGCGAGGTGCCGCCGTCAGAATCCGGTTTGCATGTCAGTTGCATTTGCATTTTTACTTTCTTCTTTTTCTCTATCTAATCTAATCTCACCACGTTTCAAAATGTCTGTCGGCCAAGTCACCCGGTTTCCTGTAAAAGCACAAAGAAGCGCGACTGCTCGGTTGGATTTTTTTCTCTCCTCCCCGCTAACGTCGGCCCGTGGGACGCAGACACGGATCCGTTTGAAAACACGCCTTTTACGTGATCCGTGTGTGTTCGTCCTCTCTGTTGGAGAAAGTTCGTTGGGCGGCAGCCAGCACCTTAGTTTTTGCACAGTACTTTAAATGTACTCAACTCTTTATGTTGTACCTCCATCATGAAGGTGGAGCTTCATGGCCTTAGGTTACACAGGAGCGAGCGTTGGCACCAGCTGCTACAAGTCCGGCAAGAAAAGGAGAAGCGGAGGAGACGACGATACGCAGACTGTTTGGATCGCAAATGCTGTCGCCGAGTTGTCCGCCATTGTACATGTCATATCATGAAGAAAACGGAAAATTGTCCCGCTGCATTGTCACACAACTAATAAATGAATTGTCAGTGTATTGTGGTGTTTGGCTTTGTGTCGCATCTCCTTCCTGCTCGCTTCCCCGTTTATCACCGCACAACAGCAGCGTCTCAACCCAGCAAATAGACCAAAAATGTGGGAGAAGACACAGCTAATGCCAGTAAAATAGGATTTATTAAACCATGATAACATGTAGAGAGTAGGTGAGTGGTGTGTCGTGTCCGGTAAACCACGTGACTGATGTTTACAGCCACAGATGGACTTCAGGGTCAAAATGTCAAATCAGCGCCACAAAAGTTAAAAAGTCCAGGAGTTTGTTCGTTTTGTTTTTCCTGCAGGAGGATTTTGCACAAATGAGCAGGCTGCTAATGAACGTGCTAACGGTGAACAACCAAAATTCCAGGAGACTGACATGACAGAGTTGTGTGGGTTCTTCACGCCCTGGAGTCGTGATTATATACTTTATTTCTGGTGTACAGGGATCAGTTTGCAGTGGCCTGGAATGCTACTTTAAATTCTCCCCGGCCACACCACAAGCAACAAACAACAGTAATCTTAATTTCAAGAGGCCTTCCAGGTTACAAAGTGTTTTACAAGGCAGAAAAATAATAGACAAGTTGAATTTTGGGTGCCTAAACCTATCAAATTCTCGCTTTGACCGTGCTCCATTTGCAGCAATTGTTTTTTTGCTCAAACGGTATCCGTGCCTTTGGACAGGAGTTTCTTCAGCTTGCTCGCCCTGACCTGTCGTCAGCCCCGTTTCGACCAACTTTGATTTCAAAGCGGCTTCAAGACAAAGAGAGACTGGCAGCTCCCGCAGACGACTGAGGTTCCCGGACACCTTCGCTGGCCACCAAGCAAGCCGCCTGGCAGAAGAGAGGAAGTGTGCCAGCCCGGCGGCCGACTGACTAAGTCGACCCAAAACACTGAATCCTTTCCACTGCTGTTGCACAACGGCAAGAACAAAAGTGGACAAGCTCCCAGCTCATCGTGACTCGGCAAACAGGCCGTGTCAAACGTGGGTCAACAGAGTGTTTATTAAATCATCACAGTGGTACCGTGATGATTTAATGATGATCTAAAGTCAGGAAGTGGTGTAGCTGCGGCTACTTCAGTGGGAGGTGTTGTCAAGTGCAGCAAAAATGACAAATGGCGCAAAACCACAAGCAGGGTGGGGTAACGGACAGAAGACTGAGACTTTTTAAAGCCTCTGGGACCACAAACTCCCGCTCAGACTCCCACACCTCGGTAGCGTGGACTGTGAAGTATGAAATCTGCCCAACGTGCCCACAGGCATTTGGTTCTGCTCATCTGCAAGACTCCCACAGTTGGTTCCAGTCTGGACCTATTTAAAGCCGAGTCGAGCTGACGGTGCTGGAGATGGAGGGATAAACACTGCAGCCGCTTTAACAATAGTCCACATCCGGATTCAGGCCCCGCAGTTTCTCTGTCATTGCTTGGCTCCTCGTGAAGCCGGCTCTCTTTGAGAGGCGAGCTGATGAGATTAGATTTCCTGTAATGTGCCAGTGACACTGAGAAACTGCTCTCACATCGGCGGAACATGACTCAGAGGTATCCACTTTTTGGGTTTTCTAAAACAATGAAACAGCTGCACAAAATGTCAGGAAAGCATTTTTCCTCTGACTAGGATCCCCAGGAGCAAGTTTTGTTTTTATTTGAAAGAATTAAAGTGGCAGAGATGCTGAGTGGTCAGCCAGGTTTTCTCTTATGGGTCGGTTTGTAGATGCCTGTGAAACCTCCTCGTTTGTAAGCGCCACTGTGCTCTGTATTAAAGGCAAATAATAAACGCACAACGCAACAGAACACAAGTGCGAGTGGGTGTGATTTGTTTCCTGTGTGGACAGTAGAAAGGGAAGAAAGCAGTTTTCATGTGTATAGTTTCGTAATGCGTTCGATGTGACCGTTGCATGAATAACTAATAGTTTGTGACCCGCATGACTTCTGCAAGAGATTCAAAGACATCTTAACTTTATTCTCCTCATTCCTCAGAACTATTTGGTTTAGTTTCAGATGAATTTAATGCATCTCTACTTGCAAGCCAAAATACCTGCCTCACATCTGCAACACGTGGAACATTTGATCAAATGAAGTTATTAATTTTAATTTCACAAACCAGAATCATCTTGAATTGTCATGCCAGTGTCTTTTGATCAGTCGTCATCACCATTTTTCTTCCTCAAGAGCTCATAAACGAACCGACTACAATACGTTAGCACTGAGGTTTTTTTTTTTTAGAATGTCAAGTTTATTAAACTTCTCTAAGAATGTATGCTGTCATGTCTGAGCAGTAAAAAAAACAAACACATTTATTTTTCAGTGTATTTGGAGAGGAAAATATGACAAACTAGTCCTGCAGGTTATACAGAAGGGTAGAGGATAGAAGACACCGTTAGGCCCTGATATTAAAACCGCTGACAGGTGAAGTCGATAGCACTGATTAACTCACTGCTGTGACACATGTGAGTCGGTGGAGTTTATCAGGAAGTAGGTGTGCAGCTGAAGGAAACAGGAAGTATCGGCAGCGTGAGAGTCTGAGGCCTGAACTGTGATGTTAGATGACTTCAAAAAGACAAACCTGGTGGGGTGTTTGCTGGATCACAAACATCACGTGGACAGACAGGTGTGTGGTTCACCTGAGGAAGAAACGGCAGCTGGACGACGGGAAGAAGGCAAGTGGGCAGAGGCTTTGTTTCTGACGTACTGGTTTGTCACCTTTGACGTATTCTGTTCTGTACATCTGGGCCTGTTTCTTTAAAGGCTCATTCTGTGTGAACTCAGAGAAGGTGGCAGCTTGACTATTTTAGAATATGTTGAAACTTTGTAGGAATGATCTTTGGCATCCGAAACTGACACGTACCCATTTTCTCTTTTAGCTGAAATTCCAACAGTTTCATAGTTAGCTAAAGAGAAGTTTTCAATAAATCTCGCCAGTTGGAAATTGAACGAGACACTACTTTCAGATGTCCGTATCTCTTCAAGGAAACCTCCTGGAGTCTTCAAGATGTCAGGAGATGTTCAGATGTTTCTGCTGAATGAAGAGAACGCAGCAACTTCTGGCAATCAAGACTTCATTCTTTGCTTAAGACCTCCCAAATTCAGGATTTGTTCAAAAATCACTAATATAGGAGATTTTTTTTTTTTTTTTAATTGGAAAACTATATCTCTAATGCAGATCCATTTGTCTGAATGACGTTACCAATGCTTAGAAAGCTTTCATATGTTAGTAGAAATGGGAGTTACGGCCAATCAAAGCTGACACGGGTAAAAAAAAAAAAAGTCATGAATTTCCAAACAGCCAGATGGACATCATTGGTGGGTTCATGAAATTTGGGATAGTTAAAGATGGAAGTATCCTCTACTTGTGTGCCAAGTTTCTATTGGGTAAAAAATTATGAAAATGTTGGAATTTCAGCTGACAAAAAATGTCAGAAGTCAGTTTTGGATGCCAAAGATCATTCGTCCAAAGTTTCAACAGATTCGGAGATGAGTTGACAAAAAAAAAAGCCAGGCGTCTCTCAGGTCGTCTGACTTCCTTTTAGGTTATTTTGTTCCTTCAAAGCAAATTTATGTGCAGCTCACGCTTTGGCAGCTCAGTCTGGGAAATTACATTACGTACTCATCATTCTACCGTAATATTTGATTTTATTATTCAGCATCAGTCCAAAAATTTAAGTCTGCAGAAAATAAACTTCAGAATAACACGATTATACTTGAACCTGGATTGAATTAGTCTAAATGTACGAACTTGGCATACTGGCAAAAAACAAATAAACAACTTCAATCCTTTATCACTTACAATGATGCCAACATGGTGTACGTATTGAAATTCCCTTTTGGTCTAATGTGTGTCAGACAAATAAAAATAGCTTTAGAGGTTTGTTTTTGAACGTCAGACTGCGATATTTACCCTAAACGTGACTATTTCCTGACAGTATGTGCAGGCTCTGTGGCATCATGCTGCCATAATGTTGGATTTTATTCTCCAGAATCAGTCCAGAAACTGAAGTCTACATAAAGTCTTATCTCTTATTCATCACCTGAACTGAATCAGCCTGATTGTGTGAATTAAAAGACCCTCATTAAATCCTTCATCCCCAGCAGTGCACCTGTTATCTAGATGTTGAAATGTCCTTCTTGTCTAAAGCGTCAGATGTGATGTTCAGGGAAACCTTTGGTCCCACATTCCCGCCACTCTGACACCTACTTAAGCACTACTTCATGCCACATTCACCCCTTTGCTATTCCCCGATGGCCAGCAGGATAAACTTTCCACCACACTGGAAACACTGCTCAGGAACAGGTTGAGGAACATGACAAGGAGCTCATCGGAACATCGCAAAGGATCTGCTGCCAACGTCTCGATGTCTGATGACGCAGGACGCCTTCTGTGGAGTCACAAGGGGGACCGACACTGTTCCAGGTCTGTGGTTTTACTGTTGTTGCTTCTTGTTTGTCCATAGAAAGAGTTTGTGTTTTACACATTAAAGTCTCTCTAAACCAAGACATTACACGCTCAGCAGCAAAAAGTAAACTTTATATCAGTAGCAGACGGTGGTACGCTGATAAAAACCTGCACGTGTTAAAGATAAAGACTGCAGCGTCACCTTGACATGCAAACACAGCCACGCACTGTTTGGTTGCAAATGACCTTTTGCCTCTTTTTTCGACATAAACACTAAAAAGGGAACTTCAGTCTGAATTGTCACTTCAGTGATGTTACAGTTTATTATGTCATTACCTACAAAAGACACCAGATGCTTTGGCATTTTTATTAATATATATATATATATAGTTTCGTTCACATTAAACATTGAGCAGCAAAACACAAGAGACTCTCTTTTACACGGTGTCAGGAAAACCTAACGTTCATAAAGACAGTATGTGTAGTTTCAGATTGTAGGGTTGCACAGAAAGTACAGTTTGCCTCATTTTAGGTGATTTTCGGGGGAAGTTAATCATCACAGCTCAGACATCCTCTGAAATCTTCCCGTTCAGTATCGCTGCCTCTATGGGTTTATTGTGCTCGCTCACGTTTGAACAAGACTGCCTTTGTCAGAGTCAAAGTGGCTCAACTGAAACCAAACCACAGCCGCCATTTTTCTGGTTAACTGGACACCGAGTGATTCACACGTCCATGTTCCTCGCCCAAAACCCAAACAAAAAAAACCCCCCAATAAATCCTCCATCAACTGCAGCAGTGTACACGTTTAGTAGATGCCGATATACAAAATAAAGATTTGTATATCTGAACATAGGACTGCAAAACCACGACAACTGCCTGTCAAAGGCTAACCAGCACAATCACAAGTCCCATTTTGTGACCTTCTTTAGCAAATTAATGAAAATCAAATGACCCCAGATTGTGTCTTTTAATTTTTCAGCTCAAAAAAAGATTTTTTTTACCCCAGTCGTGTAACTCCTGATTTTAGTTGTTCTAAAAAGGCTTTTTCAGTGTTTTTTAGCTTTAAATGCAGATGCTGCTGCCCCCGCCCCTCTCAGGAAGAAGACTCTCTCTGCTTCAGACCCAGATATGAACGTGTGAGACGAAGGCCTTTTCCACATGTAGCAGGGTTTTTATAAAACCGATTATCCTCCCCCCTACACGCCACCTCGTTTTTAGAAAAAAAAAACCCAAACCCTAACCTAACCGCATGAGTGTGTTGTTCAGCACATGCATAAACACACTGAACCTTTAGGTGGCAGTAGTTCCCCAAGGTTTTTGAAAGAATCGTTTTTAATGCCCGGACATTCTGATCACCAAACCGGACCCCCTGGGCCTCCCCCCCTCCCACCTGCACCTGGATAAAGGACTTCTTGATCAACAGAACCCAGACTGTGAGACCCGGGCTCCACCTTTCCTCCACCGGGTCAGCACAGGGCTGCGTGCTGAGCCCCTTTGCATTGTGCACGGTGCATTCTGGGATATTTTGAGCGCACTATATAGGGTTTAACGTTTGTAACTCAACATTCGGACAGCCCTACACAATGGCCAACACCCACATAGTGTTCTGTGTAGGGCAGGGGTGGGCAATCCTGGTCCTGGAGGGCCACAGTCCTGCATGTTCTAGATGTTTCCTTCTTCCAACACACCTGATTTAAATGATCAGGATCGTTATCAGGCTTCTGCAGAGCTTGATGATGAGCTGATCATTTGAATCAGGTGTGTTGGAAGAAGGAAACATCTAAAACATGCAGGACCGTGGCCCTCGAGGACCAGGATTGCACACCCCTGGTGTAGGGTATAGTGGGTGACACGGTGTAAGACATTTTGCACCTCTAACTTTCTCTCTGAGTCGCTGTGAATGTAAATATCTCTTAAACTCGTGTGTTTGTCAGGTGACGTTGTAAAACGGAGGTTTTAGTTGCCGAGAAGCAGCACGGACACGACTGCTGGTTACGTCTCAAATGGCTGCGTTTCAGTCACTATTTCATCCTGGTTCTGCTGTCTGACGGCAAATAGGGAAAATTATGTAAATGAAAACAGCTTTAGTGGGAATTCAGGTGTATTAAAGCGCTCTATACGCGAGCACAGAGAGCAGGAGGGAAGCTAACATAGTTTACATTTCACTGAAGCTCAAAAGGCGACATTAAAACACAGTAACTCGCACAAATCCTTGTTTACTGGTTTCAGATTAGTTTCCACCATCGCCGAACGTCCCTCAGTGTTGCAGTTTCTTCGTCTTGTGGGCAGACGGTCAAAGCTAACGGTAGCATCAGAAGCAGCTCTAGGAAGCACATAAACCTGGTCGAGTGCTGCTACCGATTCCCGAATAGCTCACAGTGGTAGCAGCAGGATTATGTCAATAAGTACCGGTTAGCCAGTTCCTACACAGACACTTAGGTCTTAGTGGAAGTAAAGGTCTTTATATTTTCACAGCTGTTCTTGAACACATCCAAGTTTAGAAATCATACAAAACATAGTAAATTAAAAAAAGTGTTTTCATTATAGTTCCAGGTAATAGAAAAGATCATCGACTCGCTGCTCCACAGACGTCAAACACGTGGATTCCTTTGGTTATAATAAAGAACTGAATACATCAAAGCTGCCGAGTTTCACAGATATTTATAGCTGAACTTTTGTACCTTTTTTTCATCCCTGTGACTTTAGGAGTTTTGTTTCTGACATGATGTTAGCTCTCTGACTTCACAACGTTTCCTCGGGTTTGACAGATGTTTAGGAGAAGCCCGTCTTAATCCCACAGTGGGGAAGTTTGTAGTGTGTTTGTTCTGCACATCTGAGGGCCTGTTTCCGTAAAGCAAACTGACCATAAAAGCCAGACTTATTTCAGTTAGCCTGACTTACTTTCAGATTATTTTGGTTCCTTTTGAGACAAATCTAACGCAGCCCACGCTCAGTTACTTAAAGAGGGGAAACTAACCGGCTCAGATCAGGTTAACTGTCCGGCTTAAGCCTGAGTTGTTGCTTAACCAGACTTCCTGTAAAACTGACACAACAGGAAACCACGATTTTATCATGTCATTTCACTTCTTTGTCCAGTCTCAGTCCAAAAATGTAAATCTACTTCAGAGTAACACGATCATCTCGACTACTTTGACCAATAACGGATGAACCCGACCGTGTGAGCTTAAGGGAAAGAAACGCTCCGTTCAGTCTTTTATCTCACCCACAGTAGTGCACCTGTTGTGTTTATTACATGTCTTTGTGGTCTGATGTGTGTCAGACAAACAAACCAGCTTTAAAGATTTGTTTTCGAATAACGGATACCAAACTAATGTAGGAATACTGCCCGACATTATGTACAGGATCTGCGGCAGTATTATTAGACTTCATTATCCAGAATCAATCCAAAAAGTCTACTGAAAATAAGCTTTAGCATCACGTGGTTATCTCCGCTACTCGAACCTGCGTCGACGTGACCTCACCGTGTGACCTTGAACTCATTTATTAGCTTCATTCAAGTCACACGTTGGACTTTCATCCACACTTTTCTTAGCTTTTCTTAAAATAGCATCATGTCTTTGTCCACTTTGACTCTGACAAAGCGTCTGCTGGCACAATAAAACGCTGACTCTTTTGTGTTTTCCAAGACAAGGCGCAGAGGAAGTCCCATTTCTGTGAATGACACGTAGCTGCAGTAGTGAAACTCCCCAAATGAGTGTGATTGACTGATCGCATGAGTTCTGACTGAACTACCAATATCTCCAGTCCCTCTAAATGTGGCACAGTATACGCTTAGCAATGCTCATTTCATTAGTTATGCCTGTAAAATGTAACGTAAGGCAACAGTAATAAAGCTTTACACAGATGATAATGCTCTGGTTTGATTAATACAGTCGGATGGATATTAATTTACGTGTTAAACCACCAATAACTCTATTATCACAGTAATAAACATGAATATACTCTTAAAGTTTTAACAGAAAACTGACCTTTTAGAAGATTTTTAAAAGTGGAACATGTACTGTGGTTGCACTAGAATTAGAACGTGTGAGTTCACCTTTCTAATCAGATGTGAACCAATTATTGTGCTTTTTGGTGTTCCAAAGTAGCATCTCTTTCTTTTATCTTTCTTTTTTTTTACCTGTACATGTATGCTTGGTCTCCAAAGTATGGATTTAAACTGGTACATGTGTGCCTCTAATTGGAGCATTTCATAAATGTTACGTGAAACGAGACATTTAAAAAAAAAATCTAGAAAACGGTGTTAAAATATTTGTAGAAAGACAAAAGCAAAAGCATAAGAAGGATGAAAATAAAATCCTCTTCTTTGTGTTCTTCCTCTTGCTCTAGTCTGTGAAGAGAGAAAGAAATCAGATTTAATGTCATTAATTTGCACCGCCTCACTAAAGACAAAACAAGCCTGATGGTTTTTATCACGAGTCTCGGCCTGCAGTGGAATTTAACGGGATAATGCGTCGCGTCGCGCCCAAGCCGGCCTCCTCCGGCCTCCTCCTGCCTCCTCCTGCCTCCGTCTCTCCTCCCCTGACTGCTCCCTCTTTTCCTTATGAGGTGAAAACATCCGGCCCACCTCTTTCCCACACTCTCCCTCCTCCACGGGCCAACGACTCGCACAAGGCCTCGTTAACGGCGCAGAAACGCGGTCCGGCGCTATAACCATCCATGTTTACGCAGCAGGAGCGCACAGCGGCCGCTTTTCTGTTTTTGCTCCAAAGTGAGGAAACAGAAGACTCGTAGTTTAAAGGGTTGAAAGTCATGAAAACGGCAGAAGAGACGAATTGTTCTGACACTTTAAGGTGTTTACATTCATTTAAAACGTCGATTCCTGCGTTGAGACTCCACATACATGCATGTTTCACTTTTATTACATTTCGTTTAATCTATATTTATATCTTGCGTCTCTCAGAATACCGATTAAAACAATAAAATGGATCTTTAAAGACAGGAATAAACACATTTTTATATAAAATTAATAAAATAAAGTAAGAAACGTCTCAAACGTGACAGTTTTGCTGTTCTTCTTTGTGCCAGGAGACGTTTAGAAACACCTTCTGTGTTCTGACCCTCTGAGGCCTCATCATTCAGGCTCGATTCGTTTTTGGTTTTTTTTAGTGTTTTTAAACGTTTTCTGTTGAACTCTGAGACAATATCACGTTCTCACTGGTAACGTTCAATTTCGGTTTCAGTATGATGATCATGCGCCATATTACTGGACTGTCTCGGTATCGTTGTTATTCTTCTATATTCCAATTTAGCTCCCTCTATTTTTTATTTTTAGTCGTTTCAAGTTATTCGTGCAGCACATTTAAAACTGCTGCCGAAGTGTTTTCCAATAAAAATGAATGATTAACCTTTTTAAATAAGCTAAAAAGTGTAAATATTGGCGTTAAGGTCCTGCTGTGGTATTTATTTGGAGAATTAATCAGATTAATTGACAAATTCACGATTTAAACTCCACATAAATTGAGCTACCTGCATTTATTCTCATGTTGGCGCAAGAATTTCAAGCTTAATAAAGTTCTATCTTATCTTATTTATCCTAGAGACCGATATAAAACTGCCCGTGCTCCATATTTCGCCTTTAAAGCTGCTCCATTTGGACATTTCACACGTTGCTGCTCTTCTGGTTCGGCGCCAAACTGCATTTCGTTGTTTTGAACTAAAAAAAAAAAAGTTGATTTAATCTGATCTCGAAGTAGCAGTGAATTTTTTCCGATTGGTTAAAAGATGAATAAACAGGATTCTTTCAGTCTTCAGGACACTTTCTTTATTTGTGACGCATTTATATAGAAAAAGAGAAACATGAGCGGAACTTGAGGCTTTGCTCGGTGACCTCCGGCTGCACCGCGGCCTCCTGCGCTCCGCCCCAAATCAAACCAGCCGTTCGTTTTAGAACCTGCAGTTCACCAACATAGTGACTGACAGCATCCCCAACATCAGACATCTGCTCAGAAAACGTTTCGCTGTGGTTTCGTTATGAATGGAGGCGCAATAGGTGCTGAGCCAAAAACGGATAAAACTTATTTTATTTCTTTTTTCCCACCTGCTCTGTTCCATTTAAATAGTTTCTGTGCCGAAAACTGACGTCGTTTTTCACGCTAAAGATGCGTCTCCAGGCTTTCTATCCGTCCACAGCTGCTTTCATGGGATCACACGTGCACATGCGCACAATTTTCTGTCCGAGCAGAAGTGTGTCTCCTGTGACATCTCAGCGTTGTCTAGCATCACCAGGCCTGACATGTGGGTTGACTGTGGGCAGTAATGTAGTCAGTTCTCTAGTGTTCATAGGCTTATATGATATGTGCAATGTTCTTGTTTAGATGGAGGCGTTTCTTTTGCAACCATCCTTCAGGCTGTACTCATGAAATGTGAATGAATCAGTCAGAGCTGCACTCACTGTTTGGCAAGTGGAAATATTTAAAGAGCCTCTGCTTCGTGTTCGCTGCTCCGCGGCCTTGGCCAGTAAAGTGCCTTCTGGTGTCCTCATCAGAATCACTAAGTTTTCATTAACATGTTAAAATAACAAGAAAAAGTTTGTGTGTTATTACAAATGTCCACACAAATCAGCACAAGGTCTAGTTTTCTTTTTTTTTATTCCATTTTCTTTGGCTGGTTATGTCTGCTCACTTCATTCTCCACTTTATTCTTACCAAGTTCTTGTTTAAAATAATTAATTCTTTTTTTTCTTTTCTTTATATAATGATGTTTGGGTTTTTCTCCTGTCATCATCATGAGCTGATGACACCTTTAAGAGACCAGCTGGTGTAATCATTGCCATCATCTTCAGTTTTTCTTCAGTGGAGCTTCAAACCACTGCTCAGAAACTCAAAAATATATTCGAAGAACAGCATCTAGTCCACTTCAATAATCAATCCAGCATGGGCTTCTTAGATGATGACTTTAGCCAAAAATGTCTGACAGCAAGCCCACCTGACAGGGTGGACTAGCTGCTTTTCTTGCTGTTTGTTTTGACATATTGTGATCAGATGGTGATTGGTGACCGCAGCTCCTTCCTGGAGACTCTAAAGAACTTTTATTTTATCAGTGAGGGTGACATTTTAAAGACTGTAGCTTATAGGATCAATGAAAAACAGTTAATTCCTTCATTTATTCTATAGAACCTGTCAGAACATCACGTTAGTCCAAACACGAAGGTTCCGCAGAAACATCCAAACAACACCACAGGCTGGAATCTGTGTAAACATCACACCTGATTCACCTTTTTTTTGTTTTTCAGGTCTCAGATATTCGGTGAGGAGACACGCTTGTGCTTCGACCCAAAGCTGTGTGTACTTGCACGTTACGACGGTTCGGATGAAAAGCAGCTGTGGTTGTGCAGACAAGGCAGCTCGAGGAAGACAGGTGTTCAAATATCTGCGCCCGTTTCCATGGCCACGGGGGAGCGCGTGTTGGTTTTGTGGTTGCGTGGGTTGAAAAGAAAAACACACCGACTGGATTAAAAATAGGAAAAAATCCATAATGTCGAGGACTTTGTGGCGCCGCGGCCTGCAGCAGCTCCACGCGCTCCGTTAACGTGACACACCGGCAGCACCGAGCACTGAGGCCCTCTATCATGTATATTTATATATCAGAATCTATCACATGGGTAGGTCCAGGTCATTCATTTAAACTCTGATGTCCAGCTGTATGTGAACGCAAAGCAGCTGCGCGTCCGGAGAGCAAAAGACGCAGTTTGTTAGCGGACGGAGAAACTCGCAGACTTTAACATCTTAAGCAGGGAATTAACTTTATTTGCTGCTTCCATCTGTTTGAAGTAGTTTTTCCTCTGAGTTTATTAAATAAGAGCAAACAGCAGCAGGGTCCATGTGCGCGTCTCCAAAGTGGAACAAGGTGCGCGCATTTACGCACAAAACAACACAGCGACTGTTCAGATGATCCCCAACATGGAGACAGGATGGATCAGGACAAAAACGTTAAATAAGTCTACGACTGCACACTTTCCCTCACCCCAGACAGGTGAAAGGTTTCTAGTTTAAATCCTACAGTTGAATCATTTGTCATCATTTTACTGTAAAAGTCAGATTTGTTCACTGAACATTTTCTGTCACATCTTCTTGTTTTGTTTCATTTTATCAGCGATATTTTTCCATTTAACAGCAGCAGTGACGTTATTATCCACTGAACCTGACCTCTCCAACCATTAAATATTAAAAAAAAACTATGGCAAAGGCCCCCCCCAGAAACAATAAAAACACATTTTGTTGCACCATAAGTTGCTGAAATTTAATCAACTCTAGACAGAATTTTCAGTGTTGAAATCATGAATAAGCTGCATGTTTTGCCTTTAGCCGCATTTTTCCCTTCAAATTCTCTCCAGCATCTCTTTTCCTGGAACATTTTTGAACTTTGGTGACCTAAATAACCAAAAATGTACCTGTAACGTTGAGCAAAGTATTCCTGAAGTCTCCGCACTACAGCAGCATCCTGAATAAATTATGGCTTTTGGTTTTTTTTTAGCTCCACTCCAAGATGTTCAGAGTTTCCATTTGCCCACATTCATGACTCTCCTGATCGTGACCTGGTGCCTTTAGCTGACTAACTCCTGTTTGAATGGCAGTGCAAAGTTTAAAAAAAATAAAACCGTTTCCAAACAGCGACAGTCACAAACCTGTTTTTCCTGCTTTCATTCAGATGTGTTTTTTTAATACATGTTCACTCATGCAAACAACTAAGGAGCTGACACAAAGAACAGCGGAGCAGTGCAACACAAGAGAAGAGCCACAGAAGTGTGCGTTTGAATGAATGAATGAAACTTTGAGCTGACGAAGTGAGATCAGGAGGACACAGTCAGGGACGCGCACAGAGTGAGAGCAAAAGCAGAAAAAGTAACGCCTGAGTCAAGAACAGCAACAGTTCACTGGAATATAAATGAAAGAGGACACACACACACAGAAGGCGAAGTGAGCTCAAAGCCACAGCAGGTTTCACTTCTGATTCTCACACCGGCTCTTAGCATTTTTCAAAATTGCATTAAGAAATTTCATATGAAGCTAAAAGTTATAATAATAATAAAGGAATAAACAGAATGGACTTCCAGTGCAGCCTTTTTGTTCCTAGAGGAGGCCAGATGAGGCTGGAGAAGAAAAGAAAAACTGGATTTCAGGAATTCTAATGTGATGCTGCAGCAAAGAGTTTGAAACTCCTGCAGTAGGAGAATGAAGCAGCCGGACACGTTGATGTCTCATTTTACAGCCAATGCTGCAAATCAGCTGACTCATACAGGTGCATAGAGGTTCAAATTATACCAAGAAAAACAACGCTGGAGAGTATTTGAAGGGGAAAAATGCACCTAAAGGCAAAACGTGCAGCTTATTCATGATTCCAACACTGAAACTTCTGTCCAGAGTTGATCAAATTTCAACAAGTTCTGGTGCAATAAAATGTGCTTTTTAATATTTTTCCTCAGCTATTTGTTGTCATCTTTTTGGATTTAATGATTCGACAGGTCAGGCTCTGTGCACAGTAATGTTATTACTGGATAGTAAAATGAAAAAAAGAAGCAAAAGATGTGACAGGAAACTATTTTTTACTTCAGTGAAATAACGTCCAGCTGTGACTGAGCTTCAGGATTCAGTTGGTTCTCATGTTTTACCTGCAGCTCACCTGTCTGAGGCCAGGAAATCCACACGGTGTTATTTAACATTAACTCCTGTCTCCATATCTGGGATAACTTCTAATTAACAGAAGTAATTAATGGAGTTACCACTGTGCTGTTTTGTGCGTCACAGCGCGCGCCGCGGTCCGTCTGTGGAGACGCTCACGTGGATCCCGACGCTTAAAAATCTCAGAGGAAAAAAAAAAGTCCAACAAACAGCTGGAGGCAACAAACTCAACTTCAGCTCCTGTTTATGTTTGGAGGTTTGTCGCTTTTTCTTTCCTGTTGCTGGTCGCCGGGCCGGGCCGGGCCGGGCCGGGCCGGGCCAGGCCGCTGACTGGCTGCTGCTCCACACGGCGTCACCTAATGCTGCTTTCACGCGCACTCGGGCGCTGCAGTTGCATTCACTGACTCTTGGACATCGGGGGTTCAGTGACTCAGTTTGACCTGTCGGGGTTGAGCTACTCACTCTGGGCCAGATACTGGTCGATGCACTGCGCGGTTTCCATTTTCCCTTTGCTTGCGGCGAGCTGCCGGGCGCTCAGACCGGCGCCGTTGGCGGCCCCGGGGTTCCCGGTGAGTCCTACCAGCAGCTGGACCACCTCCAGGTTCCCCTCCGCGGCGGCCAGGTGCAGCGGCAGGTTCCCGAGCTGGTCCACCGCGTTCACGTCCGCCTCGTAGTTCAGCAGCGCGCGCACCGAATCCCGGAATCCTGCGCGGGCCGCGTCGTGCATCACGGTGAGGTCGAGCACCGGGTCGCGCACGGTGACGTCCGCCCCGGCTTGGAGCAGGGCCTCCACGACCGGAGTGCAGCCCCACTTCACCACCTGGGAGCAGCAGGAGGAGAACAAAGAGGTGAAGATGATGATGATGATGATGATGATGATGATGATGATGATGAAGGGGAAGCTGTACATGTACAGGCGCAAAGCCAACTCAGATGATTCTGCTCGGGCCTGATACCTCCAATAATTCATAATTAAACTCATAATCAATGAGTAGAGCTGCCGTGTCAGCCAGCATGGTACCGGACAGAGCACCGGGGCACACAGACCGTATTTAAAACGCTTTACTGAAATAAAAACACAAAATACAGCAGAATAAAAATTAATAAAAGGAAAAGTGTGCAGACAAGTCCAACAGAGAACACACACTTTACTGAAACAGCAGAAAGAGAATAACATAACATAGGTTAATGATAAAGTACACAAGAAAATACATAAAAAAATACAGCTAAAGGGGAGAAAAGTGTATTTAAGTACAGATTAGATCAGACTTTAGAAAACTAAAACGCCCAATTAAAAGCAGCAGGAAATAAAGTTAGTTTAAAAATGGCTGCAGTTTTCAGCATTAGTGCATAATAATAACAATAATAATAATAATAAACCTCTGGGGACGTTAAAGAACCTCTAATAACTCAGAAGCAGTTCCTGTGATGTTTTGTTTTTTGTCATAGACTGAGTGAGCCCTTCACTGCTGTATTTACACTTAATTCCATTTATTTTCTCTTTCAAACTGTTTTAAACTTTGGAGCTCTTTTGAACAATCCAAGAGACATGAACACAAGGTTTACAGACTGACTAAACTTTCTGTGCAGATGAGTCTTGACACTGATGCAAGTCCCCTTATTTTAAAAAACCATCTCCACTTTTTTGTGGGAACATCTAAGAACATCTGCTTTCATGCAGCAGGTTGCTGTGGATCTGCAAACATTCATCGGTCGTTTTCAGTTTGAATTAACAGCTCGTCTTCATGAGTGTGTATTTTGGATTATTACTATTGTTTTACATCTAAATCCATTTAACTTTGATCCATTTCTCTCTTTAATAGATGCTCAACACTCAGCACAGAGAGCCTGAAATCACCTGTAATGTGTCCTGGACAGCTTTTCCACAACGTGAGTTTTCTCTTTGATTTTTTTTTTTTTGCCATTTCCAGGTTCTCCAGAACATCCTGGAAGACCTGCAGCCTGGACCTCATTTTCCTCCCCGAGCTTAACTTGCATATAAGGATGAATTGATTGAGAGGAAATGAACATGAACCCCCCCTCTGACAGGAATCCAGCAGACACAGCACAACAACACACTGACCTACAGTCATACTGCACCGAGCAACCACACTATCGTCACCATGTGCTGACTGAAGGCTGTGATGGAGGGAGTTCAAACGGGGACAAACAAAAAAAACAGGTCCTCTGCTTTCACCACAGTGAAGTCTCGTGTTCTCAGGATGCCTCAAACACACTCACTCTGATCAGACATCGCTTTAGTTTCACTTGTGGCTCGAGCTGACAGGAGCTCTGATCCGTGTGATGATTTATATGATGGAGGAATTCTGATTCTTGTTGGAAAACTTTTGGTAAAAAAAAACCCAAGTGAGCATGTGTGGAGCTGATGTGCAAATAAACAAGCTGGAAGGGGATTTTCACAACCATCAGGGAGCATAAAGTGAAACCAGTGCAGCAAAAAATCAGTGTTTCATCCAACGAGGGAGGCTGTATCTCACATCATTACTCAGAGTTTGTGTGTGTTTGCTGCACTGCTGCTGTTATACGCAGACTTAGAGCCACAGCGAGTGATTTTAGAGGGAAATAATCAGCAAAAATGACACAGATCCATCAGCTCTGCCTGTTAAAAGTCAGTTGCAGTTAGTTTTTTAATACCGACGTCATCCGTTACTAATTCTTTTATGTCCTTTCAATGCAAATAAGGAGCTCCACCCTAAGAGAGAGAAGCATGTGGCAGAAACCAGTTCAGGGACAATAAAGTGGTTCAGTTCAACAGCTTTAGGTTCATACTTCAATTCTGTGTTCGGTTCACTTTGAGCATTTTAATTTCAACCAGTGTTTGGATTAAACTGTGTTTTTAAAAAATGAGTTAAAATAGAAAAACGCACATGGAAATATCTGGTGTGACGGAGATTTTCACAATTAAAATGTTCAGAGTGAGATAATAATGACTTTTTTTTTGTGACTATGCAGCAACGACTTTTAGAGTAATATTTGCTGTGATGCAAGTGAAGAGTTCATTTGCAGAAACAGGAAACTCCATCGACACAGACCTTCAGAAAACCCACCTGAGACCATATAATCAGACTTCAGTTGTCTCTGTTTTTGTAAAATCCACTCAACTTCAGTTTGATTTATTTTATCTGAAGTAAACAAACAAAAAATAGTTTTCTGAAACTCTACAAAAATGCAGTTTTCTGTTTTTGCAAATAAACTCTTCAAATACAGAATCCTGTTACTGTGATGATAATCGCAGTATTTTTATTATTATTATTATATTTTTTTTTTTTTTACTGCTGCCAGATTCTACTTTTACTTTATTGATGCTGCTGCTGCCTCAGTCTGCTCATTTCAATCCTTTATTTAACTATATCAAAGCTACTGATTGTTAATTTTAATTATGAGAGATGAGCTGAACTGAATTCCTGAGCATGTGTGATAATACAGTTCATGCATTTGTGTGTTCACTTTTAACATCAGGACACTAAAAACGATGCTGCTGCAGTAATAATTTAAAGACCTAATCATTATTATTAGCAGCTTAATAAGATAAAGATAAACTTTATTGATCCCACAGTGGAGAAAGTTCAGCGTTACAACAGCTCCAAAAGAACAAAAGTGTTCAGTCAGTGCAGGAATAATTTAGAAACACCCAAATCATAGGAAACATGAACACAGAGTGCAAAATTTGCAAGAGAAAATAAATTTAAAAAAGCACAGATAAGATAAACTGTATTGATCCCTCACTGGAGAAATTCACATTCAGGCTTCTGTTAATGATCAGCCTCATATTCTGCAGCTTGTAATATTTACAATAACTGGCCATTTAAATGCATCCAAGTCACCGAAGAGCTTAAAGACAGTCACTTCCATCCTCACTGTTCAGCTAAATGTGTTTCTACATGTTCCAGTAAACATGCACAGCCTCGATTCTCGTCAACATGAACCACCAGAGCTTCATTTTAGCTCGAGCTGATGATGTTGTTGTCATTTTAGCGTTAAATAATTCCTACAGTCGCCCTGGCCTCGGTGAAAAACGCCACACTCCTGGGCGTGTGCGCATCTATGCAGGTTTTAGCAGCTGACAGTCCACCCTCAGCCACCATTTCCTCATCACCACCTCCATTTTGTTGCTCCTTGTTCTCCCTCCAGTGGCCTCACACATCACACTTGCTCTTTCATTCCTCACAACGTATACAATTACAGCAAAACGGCTATTTTTCTTTATTAGCTCTGAATCTCGGGCTTAAATGTAAAAATGTCTCACATGCTGCATCACTTCTGAAAGTGAAAGTACTTTTTTTTTTAAAAGAAGAAGATTGTTTGCTCTCTGAAAAACACACACAAAATAATAAAAAATAGGCCAAAAGTCGTTAGAATTCGACATTAAATAATTCATTCCAGCGAAATTATGTATTTTAAGGAACTTTTTTTAGCTGCTTTGACCGACTTTGATCACTTTTGCTGCAGAGTTAGAAAACAACAACAACACACACACACACACACACACACACACACACACCTGCCAACCTCACATTTCTTCATCTAAAAAACACATTTAAAATCTATTTATCTATTTAGACGATTCAATTTTGCATAAAGATGAGCAAAAGCTGACAGATATTTAAGGATCACATGTGCTCAGGCCTTCTGCCATGCACACTGCAGCAGCAGCAGCAGCAGCAGCACAAACAAGGAAGTCAGAGAGCCTCTCAGCCAGCCAGACAAACCAAGAAAATCAACAACTTTTACTTTAATACAAGCGAATCCCAAACGTTTTTTCACCGACCTGCAGCGGGGTTCTGTTGAATCTGTTGCGTCCATTGACTGGTGCTCCGTTTTCCAGTAAATGCAGCACTGTTTCTAGGTCTCCAGTAGCTGAGGCATCACAGAGCTGGTCAGACAGGGACTTGTTATCCATGCTTGTTTAGAAATAAAAAAAAAATAGACAGAAATTAGGAATCGGACGTTATTCGAGGGCGTTTGAGGGGCTTTTAATATGATCCACGATGGCAGATGGCAATTTATAGCGTTTTCTCACAAGGTACCTCCTTCCCACTCCTCCCCTTCCACTTGCATCATCTCAGCCTTGACCTGCACACTTTGGTTTTTTTCTTGCACTGTGACAAAAAATTATTTCAGTGCGTCAAAGGCACCTGTTGACAACGATTTTGTGCTTGGAATATATGTAGAATGTACAGCTCTATTTCAAATAGTCTAGTGAGGAGGAGGAATAAAGGAAAACTAACTCACACCCACACCTCGTGTGTCCACAGTTCAGCTTTCAGTGCAAATGCAACCAACAGCAATATATCAGGGTTCAGTATTGATTTTAACATTTTAAAATCCTCCATCCAAGAATGTAAACATTAATTTTACACAATTACAGGTGATTTAATGACATATTTCTACTTTAACACCTTCATATTCTACTTATGGCATCGTTAATTTAAAATAAAAGGTGCAGTTAATCTCTCTGTAATCTGCACAATTTCAGGTCAAAATTCAGATTATTTACTATAAAGTGTCAGTTTTTTCAGTCTTTTATGTGCTAGTTACACAGTGCAGCTGCAAATAATACTCTGCTGACTAAAATTTTGACTGATTTAGCTTCTCTTTAGTGCTAATACAGTAAAAAATATATAATATGTGATGATTCAACATTAATATTCACTGTTTGCCATCCTGCCTTCAAGAATCCAGACATTAATTTTCACAACTACAGACGATTTAATGACATATTTCTACTTTAACTCCCTCATATTCTACTTTGCCATCATTAATTTGATATAAAACATGCAGTACATGTCT